AAAGCAACAAATTTATTTGCTGTTTGAATCTGCTGACCAGCATCTACTGGTACCATTTGCTTTCCATTGTTCTGCTGATTACCAATAGTTGAGGCAATTACCTGCACCGGTGTATTCTTGTTTTGAGAAACATTACCTGAACCTTGCACCTGCTGTCCATGATTATGACCAAGTGGAATTATTTCTTTCCCTGTAGCTGCTAGATTTCCATTCTTCTTCACACGATTATCCCTCGCTTCCTTCCATTGTTCCCCAACTGGATTCACATTGCCTACTACTCTCCCACATGATAAAATCATCAAAGGTTGGTTATGATTCACTTTAGGCTGCTCCTTGTTAGTTTCTTCAGTCTGGTTTCCTTGATCATAAGGTGACAACTCAGGATGTACATTCCTTACAATACCTAGGCAACATATCGTATTTAATGTTAACCCATTCTATTCTTGTAACACCTGAAGCTTCATCCACTATATCCATTCTCACCTTCTTTGGATGGTCAGCTAACAAATCTACTAAAACTTAGTTCAGACTTAGTTCAGGATGCATTGGATAAGGTGAAATTAATTCAGGAGCGGCTTCGCACGGCGCAGTAAAGAGAAAAGAGTTATGCTGACAGAAAGGTATGTGATGTGTCTTACATGGTTTGGGAGAAGGTTTTGCTAAAGGTTTCACCCATGAAGGGTGTTGTGAGATTTGGGAAGAAGGGCAAGTTGAGTCCTCTGTTTATTGGGCCGTTCGAGGTGCTTGAGAGGATTGGGGAGATGGCCTATGAGCTTGCTTTGCCACCTAGATTGTCGGGTGTGCATCCAGTATTTCATGTTCCTATGATCCGAAACTACATCGGCGATCAGTCTCATGTTTTGGATTTCAGCACGGTTCAATTAGATGGTGATTTGACTTATGATGTGGAGCCAGAGGCTATTTACGAGTGGCAGGTTCGAAAGTTGAGATCGAAACACATAGCTTCAGTAAAAGTGCAGTGGAGAGGTCAACTCGTGGAGGAGGCTACTTGGGAGACCGAGCGGGAGATGCAGAGTAGATACCCACACCTATTTGAGGCTCCAGGTATGTTTCTAGACCCGTTCGAGGTCAGTGAATGGGATTTTAGGTTTTGTGACTTTTGTCGGATTTCGAGACATGGGCATGGGGGTCGGGTTTGAGTCGATTCGGATTTTGAGTCTAATTTAGTAGTTTTTCTTGTGGAAACGGTTCCTTTAGCGTATATTGGCCGTATTGTGTTGCTTATGGCTAGATTGGGTCCACGAGAGGCCGAGGTCAGGGTAGAGGTCGTGGCGGGGGCAGGGGTGCAACCCGCACAGCAGCTTGGGCGGCACATGCAGATCCACCTATTGCCCTAGTTCAGGATCGGGTTTCGGTTGTAGGTGCACCAGCAGGACTAGCTCAGGCACCAGCCATGCCTATTTTTATCCCAGGCCTTTAGAAGGCTCTAGCTTAGAATTTGACCGTGTGCACCAGTCTTGCGCAGGAGGTCTCTGTTCCGGTCACAACAACTACTTCTCAGGCCGGGGGAGGTGCTCAAACTCCCACCGCCCGCACACCTAAGCAGGTGGTACAGGGACATAAGACACCGGGGGCACCACCTGCCTTGCTGGTTGCAGCTGCTCAGGACTATGTGTTTCATGTCATGCCTGATGATGAACTGCGTAGATTGGAGAGGTTTGGTAGACTTCAGCCTCTGACTTTCAGCGAGGCAGAAGGCGCGGATTCCTAGAGAATCTTGGATAAGTGTTAGAGGATCCTCCGTACAGCAGGTATTTTGGAAACCAGTGGGGTCTCATTCAGTACTTTTCAGTTCTCTAGAGATGCCTTCACTTGGTTGGAGTTTTATGAGAGGCGTAGGCCTGTTGGTACAGTGCCCCTTACATGGTAGGAGTTCTCTGTTCTTTTTCTGGAGAAGTATGTGTCGTCGTTTCGCAGGGAGGAGCTGCATAGACAGTTTGAGCAGCTGCGTCAGGATGACATGATTGTGATGGAGTACGAGATGAGATTCTCTGAGCTAGCCCATCATGCTGTTTGGTTGGTTCCCAAAAATAGGGAGAGGATCAGGAGATTCGTGGATTGCCTCGCATATCAGTTATAGATTCTTTTGACAAGGGAGGGGGTGTCTGGTGCTTATTTTGAGGAAGCGGTTGACATTGCTTGGGAGATAGAGTCAGTTCACCGCCAGGAGCGAGTTGAGAGGGAGACCAAAAGGCCTCAGGGATCTTGTAGTTTTGGCGGTGTTCCTTTTAGAGGTCAGTTTCACCACGGCAGGGGTCGTCCCTACAGGCATGCTTAGACGGCTCGTCCAGTTCACCGTGGTGCATCATCTGGCCATGGTTCTCACAGTTCTCGGCAGGGTCACTCATCTCTCAGTGCCCTTCCAGGTCAGAGTTCGTCTTATGCACCATCAGCTCAGGGTTCATCTATGTTTGGTCCTTCTAGAGGTCATCTCGGTGCTCGGGGATCCCTTTAGTCCCCACCGCCATTTACAGGGCGAGGTTGCTTTGAGTGTGGAGATCTAGGTCATATCAAGAGGTATTGTCCCCGCCTTTTGGGAGGTTCAACTTAGCGGAGGAGCCAGCCTTCGGCTTTAACACCAGTCACTTCGTCACCCGCCCAACCAGCTCGGGGTGGAGGGTCAGTCAACTAGGGGTTGCCCTAAAGGGGGAAGCCAATGAGGTGGCGGTCAGGCCCGTTTCTATGCACTCCCTGCTAGGCCCGATGCTATTGCTTTAGATTCTATGATCACTTGTATTATCTCAGTTTTCCATAGGGATATCCTCTGTATTATTTGATCATGGTTCCACTTTTTCATATGTTTCGTCGTATTTTGCTCATTATTTGGATACGCCTCGCGAGTCTCTTGTTTCATATGTTCATGTATCTACGCCGGTAGGCAATACCATTATTGTGGATCGTGTATATCGGTCGTGTGTAGTGACTGGGGGACTAGATACTAGGCTGGATCTGTTGCTGCTAAGTATGGTTGACTTTGATGTGATATTGGGCATGGATTGGTTGTGTCTGTGTCATGCTATTCTGGACTGTCACGCTAAGATGGTGACGTTGGCTATGCCGGGGTTGCCACGGATTGAGTGGTGAGGTTCGTTAGATTATGTCCCCAGTCGAATGATTTCATTCTTGAAGGCTCAGCGGATGGTTGGGAAGGGTTGTCTTTCTTATCCGGCATTTGCTCAAGCAGAAGGATCTCACTTTGAGGCAGCGGAGATGGTTGGAGCTGCTGAAGGATTATGATATTACCATTTTGTACTATCTGGGAAAGGCCAATGTAGTGGCCGATGCCTTGAGTAGAAAGGCAATGAGTATGGGTAGTCTTGCACTCCTCCCTGTTGGGGAGAGACCTTTTGCAGTTGATGTTCAGGCTTTGGCCAATTGGTTTGTGAGATTGGATATTTTGGAGCCTGGTCAGGTTCTAGCTTGTGTGGTTTCTCGGTCTTCTTTGTTTGATTGCATCAGAGAGCGCTAGTATGATGATCCTCATTTGCTTGTCCTGATAGACAAGGTTCAGCACGGTGATGACAGAGATGTGACTATTGGTGATGACGGGATATTGAAGATGCAGGGCCGGATATGTGTGCCCAATGTAGATGGGCTTCGGGAGTTGACTCTAGATGAGGCCCACAGCTTACAGTATTCCATCCATCTGGGTGCCGCAAAGATGTATCGGGATTTGAGACTGCACTATTGGTGGAGGAGGATGAAGAAAGATATAGTTAGGTTTGTAGCTCGGTGTCTCAACTGTCAGCAGGTGAATTATGAGCATCAGAGGTCGGGTGGCTTGCTTCAGCAAATAGAGATCCCATATAGAAGTGGGAGCGGATCATCATGGATTTCGTAGTTGGGCTCCCACAGACTTCGAGGAAGTTCGATGCTATTTGGTTGATTGTGGATCGGCTGACCAAGTCCGCGCACTTACATTACTGTGAGCACTACCTGTGAGCACGTGATTTTTGCCCTATATGAAATATTCCTATAAAATCCAAGAAAAATAGATTTTTTCTTCATTAGTTGCCATTTTTAGTAATTTTCATAGATTTTTATTAATTGTTTGCATTTTTCCTGCATGTTTAATTTTTATTCAAATCATAAAGAATACTAAAATATCATGCATTGCATTTAGGATTTATTAGAGTTAATTTGTAACTACTTGTTTTATAAAATTTGAAAATCAACAAAAATAGCTCATTTTTATATTTTTTGTCTTTAATTTTAGTTTATTGATTTTTCACTTTTAATGTAGATTTGAGTAATGTTTACAATTTTTATAACTAGCTTAATTTACATTTTTAGATAATTTAGGATTTGTTTTTAATTTTAGGATTTCTAATTAAAAAAAATGAAGAAAAAAAAGAGAGAAAGATTAAAAGAAAAGGAAATTAAAGGAAGAAGTGGAGAAGGGGCTCATTTATGAAAATTGGGCCAGTTTTTGCATACAAATTCGGCCCAACCACTCCCCCCTATATAAATTAATTCTCTGAGCCCAAATGCCCTCTTAAGTCTTATCCGCCCCAGCCCAAACGGGGTTTGACCCACCCAAATAACATGCCCGACCCGTTTCTCTCTTTAATAAAAAAAAAAAAAAAAAAAAAAACCTCTTATAATTTTGGTCTCTAAAATCCCTAACCCTAACGAAGCCAGAGACTGCGGCGCATCCCCTCTACTGTTCATCTTCTCCCTCGTCCAAACCCAGCCCCAACTCGCTTCAACTCGCCTGAGTGTTGAACGAGTTCACTCATTGGTCCCCCCTTCCACGTCACCCTATCCTCAACGGATTTGTCAGAGGAGTACGAGTTTTCTCTCCGGATTTGCACGATTCTCGTACAAAGGACGATTGCTGGACTAATGGGGGCCGTGGATAGATGTAAATCAATCCATGACCTCCATTTGTCCCAAAATCGTTTAAAAAATCTGAGGATTTCGGATTTTTGAGAGAAGATTCGAGAAGTTATCGAGGGCTATATATATAGGAGGTAAGCTTTCTTTGTGAAGGAGAAAAAAAATCAGAGAGAAAAAAATCAGAGAGATATACCGGAGAAAACTTTCAAAAAACTCAGTCAATTTCTAGGTTTTTAGTCATCACTTTCCTCCAAGTTTTCTGTTCTTTTTTTTTATCTATTTTTTCTTCAGTTTGCTTTGTTGTTTTCTCTTCTGAAAGATACACAAAAAAATATGGCTTAAGTTTCAGCCTTCGTTCGAGTTTTGTTTTGGTTTTGAGAAAAATATCAGAGAGAAATTAGGAGAAAAATCGAAGAAAAATCAGAAAAAGAAATCTAGAGAAAAATTCTTGGAAATCCGAAAAGAGTAAATTTTTTCTAGGGTTCTTGAAATTGTCATCTTCTTCAAGCCATTTTTGTTTCTTAGTCTGCTTTCTCTTCAGAAAAAAAAAACATACGAAAATACAGTGGTTTGAGTTCATTTTTTTTTTCGAGTTTTGCTTCATTTTTCAAGAGAAAAACCAAAAAAAAAAGAATCACTGAACAGACGTTTTCTAGCACTTGTTTTCTTCTTGGGTTCTGTTTTATCAAAGGAATTTGACTTAAACGTTCGAGTTGGAGTTTTTGTTTTGTAGTTCAAAATTCCAGTAGTGGCTCCGTTCAAGTTGGTTGATTCCTGTTTTCTTGTTGCTGTTCGTTACAAGCTCTGAGCCGCGGTTTTGCTCGAGTAGATTCTATGTTGTAATCCCTGAAGTTCTTTGTTAATTGAAAGCTTTAATCCCAGGTTCATCTCTTCACTTCTTCTTAATTTGTTCTGGTAGATCAAAATGTGATGATGGCTGAGATTTCGCTAGATTGGAAGTGTTTATGAGCTGGTTCATGAGAAACCAGCCTGCGATGCAGTTCTTTTTTTTTGGTTTTCTTTCTTGGCTCCGGATACATCTCCCTTATTCCATTGGTTCTGTGTGCTGCGATCTATTCGGGTTATACCCTGTCTTTCCTTGGTGTTTACTGGTGAATGGTGTATAAATCCATTTTGCTTCACCATACAGAATTCATGTCTGCTCTTGAATTGATTAAAATTCCAAACGTTGAATGCTAAGTTTGAGTATGGTCTGGATAAGCCAACAGCTTTATAAAATATGTATGTCACACAATTTTTTTGATGAAATACATTAGCTTCCACAAGCAGCTTGTATTTAGTTGAGGTTCACATTGTCCTTTTAAGAGCTACTGTTGATGTTAGTAAGTAGTTAAGAAAAAAATTTTAAGTCGTGAATCATGATTCTTTTGATTGCATTTGAAGCAAAAACATCATTGGTGAATAATGAAACAAAACTGAAAAGAAGAGAACAACTAGAGCGTTTAGCTTCACTGATTCTCTTTGAGCTCGAAATGTGCCTGTGAGAGAATGCATAGCGATGACTACATCAGAAGAAAATTGTTCTAGAGTTTAACTTTCTTTCCTTTTTTGATGTATTGACTATCTATGTATGATGAACGTGATATCAGGAAATGTGTGTCTTCTATCACTATTACTCCTTGTTAAGTCATATGTAATTGATTTGTTATGATATCAGTAGATTTCCTTAAATATTTTCTTTGTGCTGTTTTGTTGCCTACAAGGCCCTGCCATTCAAGAGAACAGAGTGAATCTTTTAGGCTTGCATATCACTGTTGAGACGCATCTGTCTTAGTGTTTGACAAAAGAATATGTCACACATGGGATTAATAAGATGACTGAAGTTGGTTAGAACTAAGTCAAATTGATTGTTAACTTAAAGTCATTTACCTGCTACATGCTAATATTTTCATATAACAGCAATATCAAGTTAGTAGTGATTTTAATGGTTATTCATTCAGGGTATAGCATTTTACTGGTTATGGCATTGCATGTTTTTTCTGTGATCTCTTACTTTGAGGTCTAAGTTTAGCTTGATAGCTTGTTGAGTTATTAGTTATCATGGACGATATAAAGGTTTCCAAATTACCCCACATTGCCTTAAAAATTGGTCTGGACACTCATGCTTCAAGTCAAGTTCTTTTTTGTTGATTGATCCTTCTGTTAGGTTTTGCTTAATAGAGCAGGGATGGCTACTGTCAACGGAATGTGTAGTCTTAATTTGCAATTAAAAAGAGACGTTGAATCATTATTTTGGCCTGAATGAGCTAATCGGCCAGTTGTGTCCTTAACTAATTTATTTTCGCCAAGTATAATACCAAATAGAAGGAAGTTTCTAAGCGTAGATATAAATTGGGATGTGCCATATACAAATAAAATCTTTTAATTTATGGCCCTCATATAAATAAATTAATTTAGAAATGCCTTGAACAATTGTAGTTTTCTTTAGGCTCGATTTAGGCTAGTACTGTGATTATGTATACGTTCGCGTAACATGATTGCAAATATAATTCTTAAAAGATTCGGGGTATGCGTTCGCGCAACTTCAACTAAATTTTTCTTAATAAATAAGCAAAGCATTATTAATCGTGGACACGTACGCGTGACATGGTTTTTGACACGCCAAAGGAAAAGAGTATACGTACGCGTAACTCGATTCTTTAATTACGAATAACCAAGTTTCCTAAAAGCGGTAAAAAGATAATTGCACATAGGTCCTAAATATGAGTAGTTAAACAACTAAGCCAAGTAATAATCACTAAGCGATCGCGCTAGAACCACGGAATTCGGGAATGCCTAACACCTTCTCCCGAGTTAACAGAATTGCTTATCTAGAGTTTCTGGTTCGCAAATTCTTTAAAAATAAAACTTCCTCGATTTGGGATTTTAAAATAAACCGGTGACTTGGGACATCATAACTTATTCCAAGTGGCGACTCTGATAAATAATCCCATCTCGAATAATGTCACTTTAATTGGAAAAACTCCCTTATATACCCCCTCCCTCGGGGTGGTAAAAAAAGAGGTGTGACACTACCTATTCTTTAGAGTGATTGGCTGAGACTTACATCGGAGAGATTTCTCGACTTCATGGGGTGCCAGTTTCTATCATTTAAAATAGAGGCACGCAGTATACATCACAAGTTTGGAGGGCCGTACAGCGAAAGTTGGGCACTCAGGTTGAGTTGAGCATAGCATTTCACCCTCAGACAGACAGACAGTCCGAGCGCACTATTCAGATATTGGAGGACATGCTACGTGCTTGTGTCATTGGTTTTTGGGGTTCATGGGACCAATTTCTGCCACTCGTGGAGTTTGCTTACATCAACAGTTATCAGTCAAGTATTCAGATGGCTATGTATGAGGCTTTATATGGGAGGCGGTGTAGATCTCCTGTGGGTTGGTTTGAGCCGGGTGAGGCTAGGATTTTGGGCTCAGACTTAGTTCAGGATGTATTGAATAAGGTAACATTGATTCAGGAGCGGCTTCGCACGGCGCAGTCAAGACAAGAGAGTTATGCTGACAGAAAGGTATGTGATGTGTCTTACATGGTTTGGGAGAAGGTTTTGCTAAAGGTTTCACCCATGAAGGGTGTTGTGAGATTTGGGAAGAAGGGCAAGTTGAGTCCTATGTTTATTGGGTCGTTCGAGGTGCTTCGAAGGATTGGGAGGTGGCCTATGAACTTGCTTTGCCACCTAGATTGTTGGGTGTGCATCCAGTATTTCATGTTTTTATGATCCGAAACTACATCGGCGATCAGTCTCATGTTTTGGATTTCAGCACGGTTCAATTAGATGGTGATTTGACTTATGATGTGGAGCCAGAGGCTATTTACGAACGGCATGTCCGAAAGTTGAGATCGAAACACATAGCTTCAGTAAAAGTGTAATGGAGAGGTCAACTCGTGGAGGAGGCTACTTGGGAGACCGAGCGGGAGATGCGGAGTAGATACCCACACCTATTTGAGGCTCCAGGTATGTTTCTAGACTTGTTCGAGTACGAACGTTTGTTTAAGAGGGGGAGGATGTAACGACCCAGCAGATCGTTTCGAGAGTTATAGCCTTGTTCCTCCATTTCCTACTTCTTTTGTGTTCTTCAGCTGTATTTTGACTTACCGTGTTAGTTGGTTCGGGTCCAGAGTGATTTTGGAATGATTTGAGACACTTAGTCTCTTTTTAGAAGGTTTAAGTTGGGAAAGTTAACAGGATGTTGACTTATGCGTAAACGACCTCGGATTTGAATTTTGATGGTTCCGTTAACTCTGTTAGGTGATTTTGGACTTTGGAGCGCATCCGGAATGTTATTTGGAGGTCCGTAGTGGAATTAGGCTTGAATTGGCAAAAGTTGGAATTTTTGCGATTTTTGTCGGTAGTGGGAATTTTGATATCGAGGTCGGATTGGAATTCCAGAAGTTGGAGTAGGTTCGTGGTGTCATTTTTGACTTGTGTGCAAAATTTGAGGTCATTAGGATGTAATTTGATAGGTTTTGGCGTTGTTTGTAGAAATGAGATGTTTCGAAGTTCGTTAGGCTTGAATTCGTGTGTAATTCGTGTTTCTGATGTTGTTTGAGGTGATTTGATGATTTGACTAAGTTCGTATGATGTTGTGGTATATGTTGGTATGTTTGGTTGAGGTCCCGAGGGCCTTGGGTTGATTTTGGGTGATTAACGGAACATGTTTGGAAATTCGAGGATTGCTGAAGTTGAACTCAGCTGTAATAATCGCACCTGCGGATGTCTCATCTTAGGTGTGAGCCACAGAAGCGAGTGGCAGATCGTAGATGCGAGATTGGTGGAGCTGGGCAGAAGGCGCAGGTGCGATGAAGGTCTCACACCTGCGATGTTTGCAGAAGCGGCTATTGGGCGCAGGTACATGTTTGGACCACATGTGCGATGGTATTTCTGAACCTGCGATGATCGTAGATGCGCTCAGCGGATCGCAGAAGCGGAGATTGGATTTTAATGATTTTCCGCAGAATCGGAACTTTGTCCGTAGATGTGGTTTTGTTGGGCAGAAAGTATAGATAGAGGACTTCGGGAATTCTTCTCATTTTCACAATTTGAACACGGGTTTTGGAGATTTTGAAGAGATCTTTGAAGGGGAATTCGAGGTTTATCATTGAGGTAAGATTCTTGAGCCTAACTATCCTTAGCAATGGTGTTTTCCCGTTGATTTTCCACTAAATTAGTGAGGTTTTGAAGTGAAAACTGGGGGTTAGGGCATGGGAATTTGGGGAGTGAATTGTAGGGTTTTTGAAGGGCAAATGATGTCGGATTTCGATGAATTTGGTATGGTTAGACTCGTGAGTGAATGAGCTTTCAAGTTTTGTGACTTTTGTCGGATTTCGAGACATAGGTCTGGTGCTGGTTTGAGCCAATTTCGGATTTCGAGTCTAAATTAGTAGCTTTTCTTGTGGAAATGGTTCCTTTAGCCTATATTGATCGTATTGTGTTGCTTGTGGCTAGATTCGGGACGTTTGGAGGCCGAGTTGAGAGGCAAAAGCATGACGGAGTAGGATTTTGCTCGGTTTGAGGTAAGTAACGCTTCAAACTTGGTTCTGAGGGTTCGAAACCCCGAACGTCGTGTTATGTGGATAGTATTGAGGTGACGCATATGCCAAGTGATGAGCATGCGGGCGTGCACCGTGAGTATCGGGACCTGGTTCATTCCATGGCATGATTTAATACTATTTCTTGTCGATATCCCTGTTTCCATTATCTGATAAAGTAAATGAGCTGTAAAACATACTAGATATCATGCTAGGGATTTACGCTGATACTGTTGGGACCCTAGTGGTCGTTTCTTTCTGTCATCTCACTGATTCATTGATATTCTGTACTTAGTCATATTCATGCATTTCATATCATATCTCAGTCTCAGTTGTTATTAATTGGCACATCATATCATTGTTCCAGGCTAGATTTTTATGGCATTATGAGCACGTGGGTGAAACTGGAGAGTGATGCCTGAGTGAGGCTGAGAGCTTGATTATGAGTGACAGTTATGGGATCGGGTTTCACGCCGCAGCGGTTATATTGATTTATTATAGCGCTTGGGCTGAAGGAGCCCCTTCGGAGCCAGTACACACCCCAGTGAGCGCAGTTGATACTATTATTTAGAGATGGATCTTCTCCAAGAGGCTGGATTGGCCTATTTCCTCGGTACTGGAGAGTGATGGTCAGTGATGTATAATTCCGGGATGGATCTTCCCTAGGCTTTGTGAGCCATATACAGTACCGAGTGGTTGTGAGGTTATTATTATTACCTGGATATGGATCTTCTCCACAGGGCTACAATGGCCTTCCTCAATACTGAGTGACTGTTGTAAGAGATGTATATAATCCGGGATGGATCTTCCCTAGTCTGTATGGGTCATATACAGTACTCAGTGGATGAGCATTGAGAGTGTGAGCACATGAGATATTCAGCATGGTGCATCACATACACCATGTGCATTGGCATGTGGATGTAGCAGAGTTCTATACTTTATCGTGTTCGTATCTGCTCTATCTTACTGTTCTAGTCGTCTATCAAATTGAAAGCATGCCTATGTTTCTGCACATATATTTTTATTATTCTGTTGCGGTTGAGTTCGTCACTACCTTTCAGTCCATAGTTTGGACTCGTTACTTACTGAGTTTGTGTATTCATGTTACCCCCTGCACCTTGTGTGCAGATCTAGGCACTTTTGGTCCCAGTGGCAGACGCTGATCGAGGCTTCCGGTTTTCAGGAGACTATTGGGGTATCTGCACGGCGTTCGCAGGTATTAACTCTGCTTCTTTATCTCCAGTTGTCTTTCAGTTTGTTTCTTGAAACATTGTAATAGACTATGTTCTCCTCTAGACGCTCATGAACTCAGTGACACCCTGATTTTGGGCAAATGTATCGAAATTTGGATTTTATTTTGTTTTCAAAAATGTTCCTTATTGAATTGTCGCTTTCTTCTTTATTATTTAAAAATACTTTTGCAGTGTTGGATTTTGAGTAGAGGCTAGCCTAGTTCCACGATAAGCGCCATCACGATGGGTAGAGTTTTGGGTCGTGACAGCGCAAGCCTTCACGTGTTCGCATAATTAATTTGGGCTGAGCTGGGCTGAGGCTGTTTCTCTTCATGTTCGCGATATTGTTCCCGCAATTGCGTAGCTTTGAGAGCCTTGTGTATTGCGCTCGCGAAGCTGTTGTTGTGATCGCGTAGTGTATCTTTGTGAGGCTGCTGAGTTTCTTCTTTGCGATTGCGATGTAGGTCTCACGGTTGCGTAGAGTATTTGGCGAAAGATTTCTTTTGTTCGTCGTGAAAACGATGTCTTTTCCGTGTTCCATAAGAGGAATGCCTAGGCAGAATTATAAGTCTATTTCTGAGGTTTCAGCCATTTTAGCATATTTGGAGCTATGGAGCTTGGATTGGAGCGATTTTTTAGGTGATTTTCACCATGTGGATTGGGGTATGTGTTCTCTGCTCATTTTGATTTTATATCATGAATTTATCTTCGTTTTCGACATTTGATTGAGGGTTCCAAAAGAGAAATAGGGGGTTTTTGAGTAAAAATTCATAGAGCGAATTTTTAGGTTTTGAACATCGATTTGGAGTCAGATTTGAGTGAAACTAGTATGGTCGGACTCATAATTGAATGGGTTGGCGGATTTTTGTAATTTTTGTCGGGTTCCGAGTTGCGGTCCTCGGGTTGGACTTTTTGTTTGATTTTGGGCTTTTTGATTAAATATTCGACCTTTATATATTGGGTTTGTTTCCTTTGGCATTATTTGATGTATTTGAGTTGCTTTTGGCTAGTTTCGAGCTGTTTGGAGGTCAGTACACGCATGATGGCATTTTGGAGCATCGTCTGGCTTGATCGGTATTGGATTTGGCTTGTTCGAGGTAAGTAACACTTCTAAACTTGGTGCTGAGGATGTGAAAGCCCCCATTACGTGTTATGTGTTTGGTGTTGAGGTGACACGCATGCTAGGTGACGAGAGTGTAGGTGTCCACCATGTGAACTGTGACTCGGTTATTCCTGTGGTACAGTGTAGTTACCTAATCTTATCTGTAACCATGAAATCTCAACGTACTAGAGCTATGAACTGTGATCCATGTTAGAAACCATATCCAGGGTACATGCTTATTTTGCTGGGATCCATCAAGGTCATACTGCTATTGAATTATTTGTTTAAACTGAAATTTCATACTTAGTCATGTTCATTCATTTCATATCATATCTTAGTCTTTGTTGCTAATTATTGACGCATCATATCATCATTTTGGGTTAGTTTCATGGCATTGTGGGCCTGAGAGACTGGAAAGATTGATGACTGATTGAGGCTGAGGGCCTGAGCTCTGAGTGATATATATATATATATATATGTGTGTGTGTGTGTGTGTGTGTGTGTGTGTGTGTGTGTGGATCGGGTTGCATGCCGCAACGAGCCTTATGGTTGTATATATGTGGATCAGGTTGCACACCACAACGAGCTTATATATATATATATATATATATATATATATATATATATATATATATATATATATATATATATATATATATATATATATATATATATATANACTCTCCATACTGAATAAAAATAGAACGATAGACACGGGCTACGACTATAGAATCTTATATATATATATATATATATATATATATATATATATATGGGATCGGGCTGTATGCCGCAGCAGGTATCATTGATTTATACCATGATTGACTTGATATAGCGCTTGGGCTGAAAGAGCCCCTCCGGAGTCTGCACACCCCCGGTGAGCGCGATTGATTTATATTGAGGGATGGATCTTCCCTGGGATGGATTGGCAATATATAGTACTGAATGACTGAGCATGTCGAGTGATTGAGCATGATAAGTGTAAAGTGTAAGACACTGAGACTAAGTACTCCGAGAGTGTGAGTACATGAGTCATTTCTGAGATGCACTGCATTGACATGCACACAAGACATACAGGCATAAAGATGCATTTTCCTCATGTTGTACAGTATCACGTCATTTCTAACTTCTCACACACGTTGACATATAGTCATAGAGATGTATTTTCCTCATGCCATTTAAAAATGAAACATTTACCGACTAAAAGTTTTTTCTTGGGAAAATTATAATTTTCAAACTTACTCATATTTTTGGCGATGTCCGTAAAAGATTTGGATTTGCACTTATTTACTTGAAAAGCAGACCTATTTTCTGGAACTAGGAATGAGCTGAGCATTTTATCTTTGAGTTTCTTCTTTTATTATTGTCATTATGTTTTTATGAACTATTGTTGGTTATTATTATCGGACAACGACCTATGTCCCGGCTCGTCACTACTTTCAACCTAAGGTTAGGTTTGTTGCTTATTAAGTACATGGGGTCAGTTGTACTCATACTACTCTCTACACCTTGCGTGCAGATGTTGGATGCTGATATTGTTGTGTTCGACGGGAACTGGAACTGAAGACGTACCCGCGTTCCGGTTGAAGCTGCCTCTTGTTCATGGTAGCCTTAGATTTATAAAAATCTATTTATCTAAATTTTGAATAGATGATGTATTTATTTCATACCAGCTTTGTAAATTATAATCTTAGAAGCTCATAATTTGTACTATCAGTCCTTGGGAAATTTCTTGTATAAAAGTAGTTGTAATATTATTATTTTTTTTCTTAATAAATCTCCTTCAATTGGATAGTTTTTAATTAACTTACCTAGCGGCTTGGTTAGGTGCCATCACGACTAGTTGGATTTTGGGTCGTGACAAGTTGGTATCAGAGCGTTAGGTTCATAGGTTCTACAAGTCATGAGCAAGTGTCTAGTAGAGTTTTGCGAATCGGTATGATGACATCCATACCTATCTTTGAGAGGTTACAGGTCATTTAGGATAAACATCCCATATTTCTTTCTTTATCGTGCAGCATTGATTCAGCTTGAAGCATAAATCTTTGAATTTTTTCACGCATTCTTATGCGCATGTGAGCGCTTGGTATCAGTAGTACGCCGGCGGCTTTTGATTCCATGGATGAGGTGCGAGATGTGATTTTTGTGTGCTGATGAAGGGCCAATCTGGAGGACTTGAGACCGGGTTTTGACTATAACTTGCGCACAAAGATTTCTGTTATGTGAGCACGTGCTTTTGGACTTATACGTGCGGTAGTGTCCTTATGAGTGGAATTCGTGGCTCGATGAGTGCTGGATGGCTACGTGAAGAGTATGATGTGACTGCGAAATGTGTTCATATGGTTTGAATGCGACAAGAAGAGTTTGCTTGAGATGTAGAAAGGACTATCGGGTGCTTGATATTCACCTGGATGTGACACATAGTCTCGAGTTATGAGTCTATTAAAGGATCTTTCATGTTGCTTAGTTGTGGAACGAATTAGATTCTCATGGGCTTATTTATGGGTTCAGACTCAGGAAGGTTAAGTGGTTGCATAGTAGTTGTGGCTGCGAAAGGGTATGAAGAGATGTCAGTTTGAGGCTAAGTATGTGGGTTATAACCTGCGCGTAATCTACGGACGTGTGATCTTTATGATGTTCCGTGAGGGCTTTCTTATCTACTAGTGGGTTATACTTGTGCTATTTGAGTTTGGATCGGTTGTAGTAGTTGATCTAACCGTCACGAGAATGAATGCGAGGTTTGCAAATGATTTGAGGCATTAGATAGTTTGTGTTACATGAGCTTATGAAGGATTTAAGTTGAATCTCACCGTGGTATTATGGTAGTAATGGGGTATGGTAATCATAAGTTATCACATGTTTTATTCCATGGTTTTGAGCCAAGTGGGGGAGCCTGCTATCGACGAGTTGATTACAAGGTTATGTGTTGTAGTGGTTTCGGTTAGAGGTATACTTGTGAATCAGTGATGACTTGTAGAGGTTGAGATCGAGGATGACTCTAGTAAAGGAATTTCTAGATATGGGTTATGATACACTTTATGGGTATATGGGAATCATGGAGTGATTGAATTGTTATTCGTGAAGGAAGTAGTGCGCGTGGAGTAAGAAATTTCTCGGTTTCTTATAAGTATGATTACTTCTTTGGGTGTTGTTGTGCTTATGGGGCACAGGTCGTTCGGTCGTTTGGTCGGTGAAATTGAGATTTCAGCAGAATGGACGGATCTTGGGAAGGTTCTAATGGATTTATGATTTATATGTAGCAATTGAGAATTTTGCGGAATTGTATATAGCTAGAATCTGAGATTTAAGTTGGATGGTGTCGAGACTTATGGCATTTCTATATCATTGTGGATTATACACTTCAGTATCAAGGAGGTGAAGGAAACAGCTTTAGGTTCACATAAGGTCTCTACAGAGTGGGGTGTATCGATTGTGGTGCTTTGGCATGCTTAAGAAGTGATTCAGCGGCTTATGGGCCTTAGGGCAGTGTGGTTCCATGCTAGAGTTCTTGAGGTGATTTTGGGTAAGGATCGTAGTGTTTAGCAAGGAGAAGTATCAACTTGAAGGCACGGTAATGGTTACGATCGATTCCTTGAGTACTTACGATGTGGCGAGTCTCTACAGGTGTTTTATGGCAATAATCTTGGGTTTGGCAACTTGCATGGCATGGTTGAGTTAGAGAGATTCGATTTTGATGGTCTGGTTATGGGAAAATGGCTTTCTACGAGATCTCGATGATTTCTATCACAGTTCGAGGTTGATATTTCCTACTAGCGAGAGGAGTGTGTTAAGTATTGTGATTTCCTACTGGATGGGATCAAATGGAAGGTATCTGACTGATCGCGTATGTATTCTTATGGAGACTCAAAGTTGACTATGAGATTCTTGTATTTTTCATATGATGGCATGATAAATGTGGTGTGTTGTGCGGGATTAAGGTTTACGTGTGCAAGGTCACGGTTTAGCTTTGAAGGGGAGGTCATGATTCTTAGGCAACATGGATAGTTTCAGATGACTAGGTGAAGGATATCGCTACTTGGTATTGCTTGACAAGGGTGCACATTTTATAAGGCACATTGTGTTTTGACTTGCGAATGCTCATTGGTATTGCAGTACTCGTATGGATGATCGACTGCTGATATTCGGATTTTGCTATGTGGCACAGAAGAATTATGGAAGTATTCCTCATGGGATGATCGTGTATGAGAGAAGTGTTAGGCATTTGAGTGGTGGAGTTGGGATGAGATATTGTGATTCGTGTGTTCTATGAATTTGGAGACAGGGAGTTCTCAGAAGCAGATTGTTTCATCATTGTGGACTGTGAAAATATGGCCAAAGCTAGCCAGATGAAAGCACGCTTTATGGTTCAGTCATTGTGGACTTTCAAAGGGTGATTTATCTATTATGGGTGGCCAGAGTTGATTTGGGGTCCATTGGTAGGCCCAATAAGGATGTGAGTTCTACATCGGGTCGGATGGGGTGACTCTGTTCTGCCATTGTGAGGGATGTTCCATTCGGTTAGTGTCGAGCTCATTCGTGTTATGATATATTCTATGAGTTACCCTTATATGCTATCAGGGGTTGTGATTCATTGGTTATATGCACATGGGGCGGTTCTATTGGGGACTTATAGCGGAATTTGAGCGAGATGATGCATGATTGATTGCGTATTTGTTGTTCTTTCAGGTTTGTGTGGCATTGTGTCATTTTCTTCTTCGTGGTTATGGTCATGCACCTTGGGTAACTGATGTTGAATTGTGCATGGTTATTGATTTTGAGCAGGGTGGCTTGAAGTGTTTCATATGGAGCAGTGTTTGGATGGGGTCACGCATTACAGCGAGTTATGTTGCCATATGATCCTTGTGTTAGATTTGTGTGTATGGTTATATGGGGTTTGATGGGTTTTTAGCATTGCGTGGTGGCGGTACTCGTTGAGCTTTCGGGACGATTCTCTTATTCGAGTCATTTTTCTCCACGTTTGAGTACATTTGAATTGTTGTATATTGGTGCACGAATTGCACGATTTGTGGCTCTAGGTAGTATTGGTGTGACATGTAAGTAGAGTAACTGGTATTTGATAAGCTAAGGTCGTCGCATCTAGGATGGATGCTATCGGATTTGATTGCAATATATTTGGAAGGATAATATCAGAAGTCGGCTTTGAAATTGCTATGGTTCTTGTCGAAGGAGAGGGAGCTCCATGACTTTTAGATCCGATTAATAGTTATGAGTTTTTGTGTGTTTCTTTCGTCATATACAATATGCAAACGATTCAGTATGAGGTTTTGTTTGATATGAGGTATATTACTGGTATTAGGTTTCTTTGAGCAGCTACTGTGTAAAAATCATTCCTATGAGTATATGAGTTATGTGGTATGTCATGCACTTGTGTCTTGGGTTGCGGTTGAGGCTCAATGCAGTTTATTCAGACTTATGCAGCGTGTAGATGCGAGATTCGGGTCTTGTGTGCAAAATTTGGGTTTATTCTTAGTTGATTTACTATGTTTTGGCACGAGTTATGGAAGTTGGAAAAGTTCAAAGTTCATCAAGTTTGATTTGAGGTGCGATTCGTCGTTTCGTTATTGTTATGTGTGATTTGAGGCCTCGAGTAGGTCGGTGTCGTGTTTCGGGGCTTGTTGGTATGTTCAGACGGTGTCCCGAGGGGCCCGGGACCCCGTCCGAACATACTATGAAATCTCAACGTACTAGAGTTGTTGAGTTGTGATCCATGTTAGTAACAATGTCTAGGCTACATGTTTATTCTATTAGGACCAACCAAGGTCATATTGCTATTGAATTATTTTTTTAAATTGCAATTTCATATTGATTCATGTTCATTCATTTCATATCATATCTTAATCTCTGTTGCTATTTATTGACACATCATATCATCATTTTTGGCTAGTTTCATGGCATTGTGAGCCTGAGAGACTGGAGAGATTGATGACTGAGTGAGGCCGAGGGCCTGAGCTGTGAGTGATATATGTATATATGTGGATCGGGTTGCACACCGCAACGAGCCTTATGGCTGTATATATGTGAATCAGGTTGCACGCCGCAATGAGCCTTGTGGTTGTACATATGTGGATCGGGTTGCACGCCGCAACGAGCCTTATGGCTCTCTCTCTCTCTCTCTCTCTCTATATATATATATATATGGGACCGGATTGCACGCTGCAGCATGTATCATTGATTTATGCCGTGATTGGCTTGATTTAGCGCTTGGGCTGAAGAAGCTCCTCCGGAGTCTTTACACACCCCCAGTGAGCGCGGTTGATTTATATTGAGTGATGGATGTTCCCTAGGCTGGATTGCCCATATACATTACTGAGTGACTGAGCATGTCGAGTGATTGAGCATGATAAATGGAAAGTGTAAGACAGTGAGATTAAGTACTCTGAGAGTGTGATTACATGAGTTCATCTCTAAGATACATTGCATTAACATGTACACGTGACATACATTCATAGAGGTGCATTTTCCTCATGCTGTACGATATCACGTAGTTTCTGACTTCTCGCACATATTGACATATAGGCATAGAGATGTATTTTCCTCGTGCCATTTGAAAATGAAAAATTTACCTGTTGAAAGTTTTTTTGGGCAAAAATTATAGTTTTTAAACTTATTCAAAATTTTGGCAATTTTAGTAAAAGATTTGGATTTGAACTGATTTACTTGAAAAGCATACCTATTTTCGGGAAATATGAATGAGCTGAGCATTTTATCTCAGAGTCACTTCTTTTA